TTTTTTTACGTTATTTTTTTTATTCAATAACGAGCATTTATAAGATAAAGTACATTTTACGAATAAATTTAATGAGCAATGAAATTCAAAATATCTAATGCAAGTTTCTATTACATTTGGAATAATTTTATAAGAGAATCGTGTTTTTTCCTAAACAAATATATATATATATAAGGAGGATTGTATGTTAAGTGACCAATGACCTGAAACTTTTAGAGATCTACAAAGTTTACTAACTTGTTAGGTATACATACATGTGAGTTATTTTCGTTTTAAAGTAAAAATGATGTGTGTGTGTGTGTTTTACATAATTTAAGCTAAATAAGCGCATTTCTATTATGTTTTCCCAGCGATCAATTTCATTTATCATGAAAGATTTAACGTGTGAGAAAGAGAAAAACTTAACATATGAAATTCTTCTAATGGTCTTACCAAAGTTATTATTTTATAAACACAATTTTCTCAATAAATCATCGAGAGAGAATAATCTGTGTGTTGATTGATTTTCGTATAAGTTAGTATCCTGATATATGCTACTGCATTACCATAGTTTTTTCATTTGTAATAATAATTAATCGTTAGATAACATATTGTGCATATTAAATATGCACTCCCCGTACTTGAGATCCCTGGAACACCAGCGCAATACTCCAAATTGAAATTTTTTCGTATTTCTAAATTTGGATAGTCCTATTTTTATGTCGAATTCAGCGATTAATGAAATCTTTTGATATTTTATTAATTACTAAAAGTTGCCAAATATTGATCTTGAATAATTTTTTTACTCAAATACCATCAATTTTCCAGAAAAATTGCTAGAAACGAAAATCATTTATTTTCTTCTCTAGAACTCTAAGAATTTTTTCAGAATTTTTTATCAACTTTTTAATACTGCATTTTCTTATTTTTAATATGAAAAAATATGGTATTAAAAAATTCTGAAAAAATTCTCAGAACTTTATTATAGAAGAAAATAAATAATTTTTGTCTCTTGCAGCATTTTTATAAAGTTGATAGTATTTGAGTAAAAAATTATTCAAGACCAATATTTGGCAATTTTTAGTAATTAATAGCTTATGAAGATTATGCATTTCGCAAGTTTCCTCCATGTCCAGATTCATTCTTGAAATGCCAACATTTCGTGAACATGTTGTAGTCTATTTCATTAGGGCGAGGAGCAGTCTGATACCCAGTATCAGGAAATGTGAAACGCATAATCTTTATAGAAAACACCCATGGAAGCTTCAAGAATACAATTAATAGCTTGTTAACTATTGCGAAAATTACAAAATAATAAAGAACTTTTCGAATCAATTTAGTCCGCTCTATCTACACAAAAACAATTTGTAAAAACTTTCAGGACACCCTGTATATATATTATAAATGAATATGTTTGATTAGTAAGTAATTCGATCTTGTTCTATTTTGCCGTTTGGTTAGTTTCGGTATCATAAAAACTAATATTGACGTTCATTCAGCTTGTATTCGCTAACCTTATCTTAGCTTCGCAAATCAAGATTCACAGCGAGCTCCTCGAACGCACACTGAGACGGTACATGTGTTCACGCTGTTGGGATTCGACGCTGAGAGGGGGGAAGAGGAGGTGGGGGGAGATAATGGTGGAGGCATAATCGCGGAGAGGTGACAAGAAGAGTGGTGGAAGATGTATATAAGTAGTCCTCAACTGCCGAGAGAGTCATTCGACATTTTGCAGTCGAACAAGGCAGGCATGGAAGCTTTCAGAAGAATCTTTTCGTTCCTCAATTTCTTTATCGTACCAAAATTAGATGTAATAAAGAAGTTACCTACTGAAATTTCCAGCATGATATTTAGCATGTTAGACGACCGGTCTCTCCGATTCTCTGCGAAGGTCTCTTTGACGTGGAGAGGAATTTCTGCTTACGAACAGAGACGCAGGAAAACACGCGACGCAATAAAACATAAACTAGCACGGTATTTACCTGTTCGGTGTTACAATGAGGCGGCTATGACGTTTAATGTGAACGAACGAGTTGGTAGTGCTGTGCAGCAGAATCGCGGTCGTTCCCGAAGATACTTATGTGTATCGGAGAACTTTAAAGTTAAGAAGAAAATCAAGACGTATAGAGGAAACATGCGCTTTTAAATATTACTATGAAAAATGTATATGTATATAAAAAAAAATATAAATATATACTCAGCAAATGAGAATGGATTAAAATGGATTAAAATTTTTTTCTATCCGAATGCGTATTTTAAATAGCGAATACTTTTTTGGGATTTAATTGGATTCAATTGGATGCAATTGGATTGAAAAATTGCATTTTCTATTCAAAATTTTGAATTGATAGTATTCACAATGTGTGTGTTGTACACAGAAAAAGCTAATATTATTTTTAGATTGAAAGACATAGAGATATGCTCCATGCAATTTCTATAAATGAATAAAAATGCATTAAGGATTGAAAAGCATTCACTTTAACATTTGTGAATCAATATTTCTGAAAATCTGAATCCATTTCAATTTATTTCAATCCATTCTCGTTTGCTGGATATTTATTTATTTTAATGATTTAGTAATTCATAATAAAATAAAGATAAATTCCACCGGACTCCCATCAGAATAAAGACAATATTCACGTAGGTAACCAATATCCTTTTCTCCATCAAACATCATTAGACAAAAGCGATTGGTCCTCCAAGACCTGATCAGGGACACAGATATTGTACTTCCAGCCAACAAAGGCAACACAACAGTAGTCATGAACACATTAGACTATAAGAAAAAGGTGAAGAACCTTTTCCCGGACAAAGCATACAAAAAGCTTGACAAAGATTCTACTTATATAATACAATCGTACTGAACATCAAGATCTTAGTAGAAAAAGCAACATTCCCAAAATCAAATCAACATTAAAACCTACAAATTCTCTTCCACTAAGACTGTGGATTACCAAAAGTACACAAACCAAACATTTCAAATCGATGATCAACGCCATACGTTCCCCGACATACAATTTATATTCCGCTTCCTAGCACAAACACTACAATCCTTCACTGGAAAATCTGAATCACACACATAACCAACTCAATGAACTTCATATAAAAGATTCAAAAAATCCGACTACGTCCCATAGATCTACTTACATTTCGATAGAATCCCTTTTCACATAAATCCCAATAAAAGACACATTAAACATAATAAATGCTTCACATGAAATCCCCTCCAATCTCATCTCGCTAATAGAGCATTGCTTAACAACCACTTACTATAACAATCAATTTTATAAATAAACTTTAAGAACGGCAATGGCTCTCCTATTTCTCCTGTATTTCGTTACATCTTCACATAGAACATTTTAAGAAAGAGATTCTCAGAAAAACATCCAAAAAACCAGAAGTTTGATTTCGTTATATAGATGACACATTCGTGATATGAAAAAACGAAACAGAACCGAACTTCGTAATTTCCTTATTTTCCTCAACAATCAACATCCAAATATCCATTTCTCTATACATCAAGTGTACAGAAAACAACACACACAGATAGATACCTACATGCCGAGTCGCACAAAAACAGTCTGCAATCAACTCACTTGTACATAGAGTTTTCATCATCTATAACAGAGAACATCTACAGACAGAACTGAACCACTTAAAACTAACCTTACAGAAAATGTACACGACAAAAAAGACATAATCAAAATAATCAATAAAAAATCAATAAATATGCAAATAAAATAACGATCTCTGACACACAACTAGACAAAAGGATCTTATCCGTTCTCCCATATGTCAAAAGATATATCAGATTGAATTGGCAGAATATTAAACAAATTATCCAAACTATCTTTAACTCACCCAAAAAGACAAGACAAATTTTAAGAAATCCTAAAGATCAAAGACCTCAACTCAGCTCCGCAGGAGTGTATAAAATATCTTGTTCTTACGGGCAAGTCTATATTGGAGAACGTGGTCAACCTATAGATAAAAGAATATGTGATGTTAAACGAAAATACGTCATGCAGTCAGCATTATCAGAACACAAAAAATCGAAACAGGGCATCAAATACTGTTTGACAAAACGACAATAGCTAACTACATCATATATTATCATAATTTCATCATCAATTACATCATAATTTCCAAGAAAGTATAGAGAAGTCACAAAGATACATCCTAAAAATCTAAAAACATCCTAATAATCTAAATAGAGATATGGGTACAACATAAATAAAATATAAAATCATTTATTGAAGAATGACCAATTTCCCCCACCTCTTCCTCCCCCCACTCACAATTCTCTTCTTTCCTCCCACCATACCAACAAGTAGCGTAATATAAAAAGAACGGCCCAGAGAGACAGCTCAGTATCAGGCTGCTCCTCGCTGATGAGGTACATTATAAGATTCACGAAACGTTGACATTCCAATGGATCTGGACATGGAGGAAACTTGCGAAACGCATGATCTTTATATAGAAAGCAGCAGCCTCAAGAATATTATAAAATAAAGATAAATTTTTGCCAGTAATAGCAATTAGATTGTAAGTTATAAATAAATATGTAATATTTGATTAATAAGTAATTTGAACTTGTTCCATTTTGCCGTTTGGTTAGTTGAAAACTAACACCTAGTTTCCACCGAGGATTTAATTCGGATCAGAGTGTAAGAACCAACTAACTGCAACATTCCCTGTCACACGGGAATACTCGACTGTAGTTGGTTGATTCCTACATTCTGATCTGAATTAAACCCTCGATGAAATCTAGATCATTGATACCGTTCGTTCAGCTTGTATCCGCTAACGCTATCTTAGATCCCGAGATTAGTAACGAGATGGGCGAGCTCCTCGAACGCATCGAACGAGAAAATACATGCGTTCACGCGAGATTTGACGCTGAGAGGGAGAAACAATGGTGGGGACATAATCGCGGAGAGATGACAAGGGTAGTGGAAGATTTATATAAGTATTCCTCATAACCGTCAAGAGAGTCAGTCTACATTGTGCAATCGCATAGGGAAGACATGGAAACTTTTAGGAGAATCATTGCGATCCTCAATTTCTTTACCGTACCAAAATTAGATGTAATAAAGAAGTTATTTACTGAAATTTTCGACATGATATTTAACATGCGGTCTTTCTGATACGCTGCGAGGGTCTCTTTGACGTAAAGAGAAATTTCTGCCTACGAACGGAGATGCAGGAAAACATGCGCTTTCAAATATTACTGTGTATGAGAAATAGTATAAATTAATAATTTAGTAATACATAATGAAGGTTAGACTATAAGTTATAAATGAATTTATTTGATTATGAAGTTATATGATCTTGTTCCATTTTGTCGTTTAGTTGTGAACAAGTCATGCGTGCAATGGACACGTTTATGATGTATTGATTCTCTTACTATGTATCGATCGCTATTATGTTTATGTCTCTCCAACAGAAAAGGAAAGCTTCGTAGTAATTATATCTTTTGGAGAAAGTAATTATATGAAGTCTTATGACCTCAACAAAGTCTAGACATCCTCCTCTCGAACATCTTCTCAGTTCTTGAATATTTAGCGCTCCGTGCAGATTGAATTCAATCTTGCTAGGTTGTTTCCCGCGTTATACAGGATTTAATGGGCGAGTTCAAGATGACAAGTGTGCCTTCCAACACAAATTACACAGTGTGCCACAATGGATCGTTACATCCTTTGTTTGCCAATGTTAAACAAAGATGATCACTATGTCGCACGTGTCATTTGTTGGAAGGCACACAAAGCGGCTAAGCATGCTTGAGCAAATGAGCATAGTTGGTTCTTACTTGTGGATCCAATCAATCATGTTTAATTGGCGAGCAGACCTAGCCGTTTTGTCGACTTGAACGCACTCATTATTTCTTGCACGCAGTAGAAAGATCAAATCATTAGACTCTTCACTTTTCAGTAACAATATATAAATGTCTTAATTAACAAAAATATAATTATTATTATATAATTAACAAAATATAATTATAAAACAAAAATTTTTTATATTTACGTTCTTATTCACACTTCCACACTCACTCGCAGTATGTTTAATATTAGGTTATCGCCTGGAAGGATTACGTGTTGGCTGCGTTTCACTTAACGCTCGCAACGCTCGTGAGCATTGTTTGTTCTTGTTTAACATTTGATAAACAACAAGAATAAAATGATCCACGAGTATTGTGAGCGTTAAGTGGAACACAGCCATTGCGTGTAGTTCGATCTAACCACGTCTACTTTTGCTCCGCGTCGTCAATAAGGTTCAAGGACTATAACTGCGAACCGCAAAACATGGGGCGATATTCATAGTCCGTTTTTATTTAAAACTGATTTAAATATAGTATCTTAAGATGTTAATACGAATTGATTTATGATCTTAAGATTGTACTTGAAAGTCTTAAATGTAAGAATCGACTATGAATACCGATCTATTTCGCGTCATGAAGTTGGTACTGAATCTTTACTTGTGTAAGAAAAGATTTATGGCAGAATTTTCCAAATAGGGCACCGCAGGTCCTTAATCTCCTTGCCTCTCTCCTGCTCATGCTTGGGTTCAATGTTTTTTCTCTATTCATGGCTGTGTACCATAGACTTATAAGATAGACAGAGCATTTATACGAGAGAAGCTGAAGATTTGATAGAAAGAGAAGAAATAATAGTAGCGGAATAGTTCTCTTCTGTTTTAGTAGTGAATTAATTGATCGCCGCTGCAAGTGGCCGAGAGCAACGAAAATAGACGTTCGAGAGTTGTAGCCTTACGATCAAGTTAATTGGCCCCCTCACCGCTCACTATAAAAGAGAGAAACAACTATGTCTGGAATAGAGCTGTCCTTCAATATTATCTTCAGCTTCTCTCGTATAAACGCTCCGTCTATTTTATAAATCTATGCTGTGACGCGATGTATCATTTCATAATAGTCAGGCGCGGTTTCATTGAAAAATAGATACATATACCGAGAAAGAGAGAAAAGCAAAAGAAGCCATATGATTTATTTTATTTTCGTTTGGGATTTCCATTAATCCTAAGAGTTATATTTGTATATTTGTATATTTGTTTGTGACGCGTGTGGCAGGAAGACTGGAAGCGTTGGAGGGGGTAAAATTGAGAGGAGTCTGCTTACCGTTGAAATCTTGATGGGGACACGATCACGTGACCATTTGGAAGGTTCTGATTTACGATATATGGCATACGGTTGATATAAACACAACAAATATAACATTCTCTTAAGCAGTAAAAGCTACTAAGGAATCGGTCAATTGTAAATGTATGTTATCGTCTTAGAGCATATATACTCGTATTCATAGTCAGGCCTTATATTTAAAGTTTCCTTAAATTTATCTTTAGATACTTTATAAATTATTTCATTGGCTGCTGAGCATCTAAAGATAAATTTAAGAAGTACAAGGTCTGACTATAAATACAGGCAATAGACATTGAGGAAGCATTGCCTATATCTCCTGTAGCCCAAATCATAGTATAAGTACATACAGTATGGACACTGAGCATCGGCACCTTTGATGTATAGTAAGTCCCAGGTCACGTGACTCGCCGCCATGTTGGAAAGGCGCTTATAAATTTGAGTTTTTGTAAAACTACAGAATGATTTAAAAAAAAAAAAAAAAAATACATAATTTGGTTGTGTCATGAAAATTGTTTATAGCGAGTATATTTTTAAATCAGAATTATATAATAATGTAATATTAACGAACTTATTATAAAAATAATATTCATATTAATAATAATAATAATAATAATAATATTAAATAGTAATAAGTAAATTAAAAATAATAATTAATAATAATTAATAAAAATACCTATCAGTGTAGCACACTCAGCAACACTCAGACAATGTAGCATGTTTCCTTGGCTGGTGGTAGGCAAACTCATTCAGTGTAATGTGTTTCGTGTAGCAATTTTATGCAATGGAGTTTTGCTACACGATCTCAAAGAGATGGTGTAGAGCTAGGTGTGTAACAGTAAAAATTTGAAAATAGAAGTTAACCGGCAGCAGAATTAAACACAATAGCATGAAGTGTATATCATGGTATACACTTGTATAATGCAGCACTAATGCAACACTTACACGCAACTAGTGTAGTGTGTCACACTCAGTGTATTCCAAGAGATCCCGGTGCGGTAAAGGACTGCAGAATGCGTCATAGAAGCAACCAATGGCCTAGTTTTCACTGAGGGTTTAAACCGGATCAGAATGTAAGAACCAACCAACCAACAGTATTCCCCTGTTACAGTCGAACGATAGGGGAATGCTCGACTGTAGTTGATTGATTCTTACATTCTGATCCAGTTTAAAACCTTGGTGGAAACTAGACCAGTGTTAGGGGCTCCGCACAAGAAATGGAACAAAAAACAGAGAATAAGGGGCTTCGCACAATAAAAGGAATAGGGAACAGAGAATAGAGAATAAGAATTTTAATCCTATCAGAAACTGTATATTCCACAATACATTTCTGATAGGTTGAAATTCTTATTCTCTGTTTCCTGTTCCTTTTATTGTGCGGAGTCTCTTATTTTGCGTTATTCCGAATAGCGCTAATTGGTTGTTTTAATGACGTATTCTCTATTCCGCAACTCTTTTCTGCACTGTGTTATTTCACCCTAAGAAAAATTATTTTGCGGCGCTTCGAAAGACCTGGGAGGAAATGGATGAAAAATACATTTAAAATCTCGTGGAGAGTATGATGACTTCAGACAGTAATCAAAGCGAAAGGAAATCATATTAAATATTAAAATGTTAAATATTAAAATATTAAATTTTTTTTGTTTTTTCTAATTTTTTTAAAATTTTATTAATAAAAAATAAATAATAAATGGTCTTTTTTTGTCTTAGTATTAAGTAAAACATTAAAAAAAAATTAAATATGAATTAATTTAAACAAGATAAAGAAAAATCTATTATAAACATTAAAAGTTTGTTAATAACAAACTGTCTGAGCTAAATTATTTCAAGTTTTTTTCATTTTTTACAATTTTTTTGAAATAAAACCTTATAATATTACATCTCTTTTTTCAGTCACTGCGTATATTACATATATAAAACTATAAATATTACTTCTTTCTGTATTGTATTATCCAATTTATAATAATTAACATATTTTAATTACATTGTTATAGTTATTTAATTACATTGTTATAGTTATATTATATATCTACATAAAGAATTTGTGTAAACTTCATGTAAACCAAATGCAAATATACCATGTACTTAAACATAATTTCGTTCAACTTTGATAATAACTTTGATAATAACAGATATTTGCATTTAATAGATATCAGTCAATAGATTGAGGTTAAAGTCTGTGGTTAACTGTGGTTAAAGTCTCGCTATAAATACTTTAGGGCATTTGATGGACCAATCAGAAGAAAGAATTTTACAAGTTGACTAATTAAAAACCGCTTTAAAGATTATATTTGCATCACATTGACCATACTATATCAAATCTATAAATATAAAAAATATAATATATCAACAGTCGTTAATGTTCTTCCATTATCCGTACGTCTCTTTAATCGAATCATAAAAATAGTTCAGTTGATAAAGACGGAGTCCGTCGAACAAACAGGAAACTCTAAGATCCACGTATCAAGTGGTCGGTGAAGCCTTTATTATTGTACAATCAGCGGAATTGTCGGTCGCTCGCAGCATGGCGTCGGCCAAGACTTGTGTAATCCTGGAACGCGGATGAGAAGCGCGGTACGCGTGTTTTGCGCCTTTTCGAAGGAATATTCGCGCATACAAATGTCTCGCGCATTAATGAAACTCCTCTTATAAGGGCACGAGGAGACAGGTGAGAGTCCGAAAGAGGGGAGGGGGCAAGGAAAGAAAGAGAAAGACATGGTGGCATAAATGGTGGGTAGTTGGGTACCTTGAGCGGAATCTGGGATAGCTGTCGGCTCGACAGGCTTGGAATTCCGTGGGGACGATGCGGACTGCCACGGACTCGCGCATTCCGGATATGGCGGCAAATTTCGGTTGGAATGCAGCGATGCCGGGCGAAGACGAAAGAGAGAGGGGAGACGCGTGAAATGCGTGAATGCGTCCCGTCCAGTCCGTTTGCATGCGTTTGACCGCGATACAGTTGATGATCGATGGCGACAGAGAGAAGACGAAAAATGCGTTGTTCACGGCGCGTTTAAAATCACCACGTCGATGCGCCGTGCACGTCGACCGCGTTTTGAAGCGCAGTGGCGACTTATCATGGCGGCGTGATTTTTTTTAGCTGCCAGTCCGTGTGTGTGTGTCTCTGTCTCTCTCTCTCTTTCTCTCTCTTTCGCCATCCTTCCCCCTCCCCCTGTGTGTATACGTGACGTCCCGCTCCTCGAGGAATTCACTCGCAATAGTTAACTAACGCACGAGCCGAGACGTCGGTCTGAACGCGTGTAAGAGGCAAATCCTGCAACCTTGTTCCCAAGACCTGGTCCACCTTACGTCGCGATAAGCTCAACGTGTGCCTCTGATAATAGCGGCGCGACGATACGACGAATAAGGCCCCTGCGTTTAGTTCAAGAACCCTTTTTATGTACATATACGCGCACACGTACGTGAACGTATGTATGCGCACGTACATTTGTTTACAAATTTTGTGCTCTACCAGCGATAACTGTAACGGCCCTCGCATCGCAACCTCAACAGCATTCGGCGGACGATGTAGCGGTGCTCTGTTGTAGATATATAGCTAAAGGATCATCTTGTACCTTATAACTTTTTAAGATATACCTCAGGATGAACAAGCGACGTAGAACGTCCTCGGTGGCGAGTCGTGGCACCGAGGACGACGGTGACGATACCCCGCCCGAGCCGACGAAGAGGAGGAAAAAACTGGATCCTGTGAGTGGCTGTGATCTCTCCTAATATTTCTACATAGATTGCGTATGCGTTGAACACACGTTGCTAATAGTCTTTTACCTTGTACAGAGCGATTTGTGCCAACAACTATATGAAATACTTCGTAATCAAAAGAAGGAAGATGGATCCCTGCTGTGTGATGCATTTATACGTGTGCCGAAACGTAGACAAGAACCAGGATATTATGAGGTTGTTTCCAATCCCATAGATCTGTTGAAAGTACAACAGAAACTGAAAACTGATGAATATCGCGATATGGACGATCTTGCTGCTGATATTCAGCTTATGGTAAACAATGCCAAAGCTTTCTATATGGTAAGTTTTTAAATTCTATTTAATTGTATCAATCTATTTAAACAGATATTAAAGTTTGTCAAAGTGAAAAGATTTCAGCATGCAGTTTTCAGAATTAGATATATAAATTTACTTTGAAATATTTAAGCTAAGATCTGTTTGAAATATTTTTAAGCTAGATGAAATTTACTTGAAATATTTAAGCTAAAAATAGATTTATTTCTCTTAATTGATTTATTTTTGTCAGTGTAATACATTATTATTAATAGTTATTCTTAAAATTTATTTTCTGTAACTGAATTAAGATATATATTGTGGAACTTAAAGTAAAATAGATATATGTTTGATACTTCATAAATGCTAGAAATAAAGTTTTAATATAATCTAATGTAGGGATAAAAAGAAGATCTGTAGAGTTGAAATCTTGTATAATCATTTTTATAGCGTACATCTCCCGAGTATAAAGATGCAACTGAACTGTGGGAATTGTGTATAAATACTAAAAACCGTATAATGGAAGAATATGAAGAACCAGAACCTAAAGGAAAACTCATTCTAAAAGTTGGCAGATTGGTAATGTTTGATGATTTAATTGAATTTTAATTTGTTGCACAGATGCAATGCATAAAAATGTGGTGAGATTGTTCATTTATTAATTCATGTTTAGGCGCGTAAAGTAACAACGCGACAAGATGACGCAGAAGATACTTCAGAAAGTTCAACGAATCTCGATGAGGAAACTATGCAGCTATTCGAGGATTTATTTGCAGCAGTTATGACAGCAACTGATCCCACTGACAATAACAGACCTCTTCATATTATGTTTCAACTCAAACCTTCTAAAAAGGTTTTGTAACCTGTTTTAAATTATCTCTGAATTATCTTGGTATACTTGATGCTTATTTGTAACTGCTTTAACATATTTTATCATAGCTTTATCCTGAGTATTATGATGTTATCGAGACACCAATTGATTTGAAGACTATTGCAAGAAAGATTCAAGAAGGTGCATACAGCTCACTTGGCGATATGGAGAAAGATCTAATGCTCATGTGCCGTAACGCCTGTCAATTTAATGAGCCTGGTTCGCAAATTTACAAGGATGCCAAACTTTTGAAGAAGATAATTACTGCAGCCGCGAGAAGGCAAGATAGCGGGTTTGGTAGTGGTATTAAGATTGCTACGACTGCACCATCTACAAGAAGCAAAAGAGGAAGTCGTACCATGGCGCAATCGTTAATAGCACAAACTGCATCATTACGTGACGAAGATGATGAAAGCGATGATGAGGAAGAAGAACCTGCTGAGACTGAAGAAGCTGACAATCCACAATGGCAATTATTTCAAACTATTCGGACGGCTCCTAATAATCAAGGTATGACTTTCATGATAATATTATATAATATAAATCTATTGTAATTGATATAATGCCATAACTATGTATTGCACAGGTGTAAGGATGAGCGAATATTTTTGGAAACTTCCATCAAAGAGATTATATCCTGATTACTATAAGACGATTAAGAATCCTATATCTTTATTACAAATACGTACAAAGATAAAGGTATATGTCATATTATAATAAAATTGATCATTTATATTAATACATTACATTGTTTACTATTAAAAGTTATCCTGAATCACGATTTTCAGAAATGCGAATATGGTACTGTTAGTGAAGTAGCTGGAGATATGAATATCATGTTTGAAAATGCAAAGAAATATAACATGCATACTTCTCGATTGTACAAGGTAATAATTTTGTAATTAATACATATTTTATTTCAAATTAATTACGACTATGCGTTTAATTACAAACATAATATATAAAATGTTAATTATAAAATATATGATACACATAAATAGTTTCACAGTTTTTCATCGAATTCAAAATTTAGCAATCCAATAAAATTGAGAAATATCACTATGATGTATACAATATGATGTATAATCAAAATATAATTATTCACGCATTTTTGTTTTATTATAGTGTGCTGTTAAATTGCAAAAAATAATGCAAGAGAAAGTACAAGAACTCTTAGAATTCGATCAGGTAATATATTGTAAATTGAACATGATTTAATCTCTGGTCTGATTTATTACAGTATTATATGTTTGGATCAATATTATTATAAAACTATAAAAAATAAAACAATTTCACAGTGAAAAGATATTTTGAGAGATGAAATCATCAAATATCAGAGAAAAGATTTTAAAAATATATTTTAAAAAATATTAATAAGAAAATAAATTACATTACATACATTTTTTAGTCAGATTCGAAGACCAGCAGGGTTAATCTACGCATTTTTTGAAAAGCGAATGTAATAATTAAATATTCGATATCTTTGTAGGACTCTGATTCGGATAGCGAATCCGAAAACAGTTCGCAGCAGCCTAAATTGATTAAACGTGCTTCGAATTTATTGACACGAGGGAAGTACAAAGACAATATACCACTGAAGAAGAGATTGTACGCATTAGTCAAGTGTGTCATAGAATACGTTGTAAGTAATTCCAAAACTCATTATGTTTAATATATTCGGTCGACGTATAGCATACTGTATTATAGTGCGAGGACGGTCGGCAACCCATGTTAATGTTTATGGAGAAACCTTCCAAAAAATTATATCCGGATTACTATCAAGTGATAGCAGAACCTATAGACATGCTAGCGATTGAAGCTAATATTAAAGCGGAAAAGTATCAAAATGAAAACGAATTAATACAGGACTTTAAGGTATTTATCATTTAAATTAATCAATACAATAGCTTGCGTCAGATATTTTTTCGAAATTTCTCGTTTTTTAGTTGATGTTTAATAATTGTCGCCAATATAACGAAGAAGGTTCATTGATATATGAGGACGCTAATATATTGGAGAAAGTTTTGATGGATAAGGTAAAGGAATTAGGACCTCTGCCAGATAATCCTAGGTCCAAATCTTCCGCATCAACCCCAACTAGAAACGTCGGGTATGTCGTAATTCGTAGGTCCGATTCATGCTCGCAATGCTTATAAACATTATTTGCCTTTGATAACAACAAGGATAAAATGAATTTAAGAGCATTGTGAGCGTGAATCGGAATCATAAAGAAGATAACAGTGCTCATTTGTTTTAGTCTTTTCTCTACCTCTCTCCTTTTCTGCTGTCTATATTCAGGAGACCGAAAAAAATAGTGCCGCTTCATTTGCAAAAATTACGAACTCTGTACGATACTATAAAAGACTACCACGATGCAAAAGGGAGGCAGTTATCTCTAATTTTCATGAAATTACCAAATAAAAATGAATATCCAGATTATTATGAGGTGATAAAGCAGCCTATACACATGGAGAAGATAGCTTCTACTTTAAAGAATAATGGATATGATAATTTGGACGAATTGGTGTCCGATTTTATATTAATGTTTGACAATGCTTGCAAGTATAACGAGCCGGACTCGCAAATATATAAGGTTTGTATAACAAAGGTTTTTTGTTTCGTAAGCGTTAAATAATACAAAACAGGGTTGCCACAGACCCGGAAAATTGAAAAAACCAAAAAAAGTCAGGGAAATTGATCATGGAAAAGTTAGGGGAAAATGTAAAACAGTCTGGAATCTTGAAATTTGTTCACAATTCCCTTAAACTGTTCCTATTCCAAATCATCATTACAATTTTTAAAATAAATTCTGATGTTTTTATATTTATAGTCAAATATGTTCAAAATTCGCGCACTTTAAATGATTTTAATGAAATAATTAAAATTTATATTTCAATATTTTTATGATCTATTCTTTTTCGTTATAACTGCATTCTTTTTTCTAATACTAATTTATTTTTTATTGAATTTGCTTGAATTTGCACCCAAAATTTTATTATTCTATTAAGCTTCTTTTTGCATTGTATTTAATAAAGGTTAATCTTCCTTTAATTCTTGAATTTAAATATTAAAATTTTTACATAATTTATACTGTTCATGAAAAATTTTCCATTTTCATCTGGAAAATCTGTGGAAAAGTCAGAAAATTTTAAAATTCATTTTCTGTGACAACCCTAATAAAAGTATCTATTATACTGATTTACTGAGAGAAGAATCTATATCATCAAGATTTATTAATAATTGATAAGAATACTTTAAAAGATTTTTTGATGCAAGGCTAAGAGTAGCTTGAAATTGTAGTTAAAAGTTGACAATGTACAACTATTTGATGTTTGCATTAAATTTCAGTTATAAGCTCTAATTATTTTTTTAAACGTATTTACGCATTTGAAACATTTTTGGAAAATATGTAAGAATAAGATAGGATCATACTAAAAAAAATTAAAAATAAGGTTTTGTTTATCTTTAATGGACATAAAAGAATTAAACTTCAATTGTAAGGTTTAATTTCCTTTAAATTTGTACACTGAAAGATATTTAAGAAAAGATTAAGGAAAGACTAAATGAAATTTTAAAATAAAATCCATCATTAATGGACACAAAAGCATTAGGTCTATTCGCGTTGCTTGTACTTATTTTTTTATTTACTCAGTAACTTCGCTTCTTTCTTTTCAATACACACATTGAAATATATATCTATCTCGTTTTAAGTTCAAAAATTTTTGGGGATTTTAAGCAACACAAACAGACCTATTGACTAATAACCTTAGCGATGTACAATTCTAATTAAAATTCTAATTTTTGAATTTCCCAGATATTGTTAAGAAAATTAAATAACATAGTAAGCCTGAGATTTTTTAACAATATCTAATTTGCAAAAAATTGATTTCTATTTACTTGCAATATTGATTTTTGATAATTTATCTTGCAATATTGATTTTTCTCATAATTTTTTGAGAAAGTAAAAATATTAAAAATTTATCAAGTTTCTGAAAACTGTTAAATCAATTTTCTCAAAAACCAATTTAAAAAGCGTGTAGTTTTCAGAAATTTTCGACTAAAATTCCAATATGAAATACAGATTCTTAAATCGAGAGTCAGAATATTTGCGGATGGATACTTCAATTGAAATTTCGCGGCAAAAGATGGAAAGCCTAATCTGTTTACGGTAGAAATTTGGAGGTTACGTGAAAGGCTTCCTCCGCCGTTTCTTGCTTCAATCCCGTCGTATAAAGCTTTTCATTGAACAATGCTTTAGCTTGTTTCGTGAAACGCGTGGCATTGTATAAATTTAAACAACTAAGTATAAATTTGTACATATAAAATTGTACATATAATTTATCCATAATGTGCACAATGTTCATACATATTAACCTTGTTAGCAATTAGCGCATTTTTATCGTGATCTTCCAAGTCTTTTATACGCCGTATGGCGTATTTCCGAATTTTTCATGCGATTGAGTGAATTTGATCGCGTGCGCGCCAATATCCCGAAGATGTTCGCACAAAACGAGCAGAATATATTAAATAGTAACGTGATGCAAAACCCATTAAAAGTGCGGCCGTGTTTCATACGTCTATTGAGAGACAAGGAATTGGATAAGCACATAAAAAGATATAAAAAGACTGAGACAAAAGTAAATAGACCAGAATGATTTTATCTTCGTATTTTTTTTTTTTTTATATCTTTGTGCTATATAAAATCTTTTGTCAAAGGCTGCAGATATAGGTATTATAGTGAATAACAAGATATAATCATTTTAGGATGCCTTGATACTACAAAGATTAGTGTTGCAAAGTAAATTGCAACTAAGTGAGGATGAGGAAAGTGTACCTGATGTGTCAGCTGCTGTTCAAGAGATACTGGCAACAATATTTACCGCACTTTATAATCACCAGGATGAGGAAGGAAGGTGTTACTCCGATTCTATGGCCGAACTGCCGGAACATGATATTGTTGATGGCAAAAAGTACGAATGTGCTTGAGTGTTATTAAATTTTTTTGTTTTTATTATGAAAATTTTGTTTACTCAAATTTAGTTCCATTAACATAGTTAACATTAAGTATTTCTATGTTGAAAAACAGAGTACGGGGGTTGTCATTAGATTTGATTAAGAGGAGATTAGATCGGGGAGTTTACAAAAGGCTAGATCGGTTCCAAGAAGATGTTTTCACCTGCTTGGAAAGAGCACGGAGATTGTCGCGTACAGATTCACAACCATTTGAAGATAGCGTGGAATTACAGGCATTTTTTCTACGTACTCGTGATGAGGTGACTCGTGCAGGAGATTTGTTACATTCACCTGCGTTAAATTACACGCTTCTTGACCTGTCTGCTCAGGTTGCAGAACTTAAAAGAATAAAACAGCAACAAGAACTAAATTTACCTAACGAAGAGGAAAGCTGTGATGGAAATGAAACAAAAGTAAATCTTGTTTCATATCAACTGTATTTTGTGTATTTTTTGTTGAGTTTTTTGAAGACTCATGTCAACTTGATGTAATTTAAAATTTACTATTGCAGGACTCTGAAACCAATACGGATACAAATAATACTGACAATGGAGGCTCTATGAGTTTCAATCAAGAAGTATACAGAGCTGGTGACTTTACGTATATTGAGCCTACTGAGAGAGGCATGGAGTATAGCGTAGTTCTCATAGAAAGGCTTTGGACCAATGCAGACGGTCAACAAATGTTGTATGGAAATTTATTTTATAGACCTAGCGAAACATATCACGTGGCTTCGCGGAAATTTTTGGACAAGGAATTATTTAAGAGCGATGCTCACGTGGCGGTACCTCTAGCGAAAGTAGCTGGCAGATGTTGCGTTTTAAGTGTAAAGGATTATTTTCGAATGCAGCCGGAAGGTTTCCTAGAAAAAGATGTCTATGTATGTGAATCACGTTACTCCACGAAAGCTCGAGCGTTCAAAAAAATCAAGGTCTGGAATTTCGATCCCGATCACTTGACATTGGTTCCTAGAGAAAAGCCACTAGAACCGAAACGAGTAATTTCGGTGTACAAAGAACGGCTGGAAAAGCATAAAGAAGAGATCGCTGAATTGGAGGAGGGAGAAAAGTTGATGGAAAAGGAAAGACCTGTTAGTAACTGAATCAATATCTTCTTTGTTTGTTTGAAATATCAATTCTTCCTCTGTTTATTTATTTTGATTCTATTTAACATATCTCTTATCTTGCAGAATGTGATATTGTATAACCCAGAAGATACTGAGAACACATATTATGAACAGTACAACACATGCGCGGGATCTGTGAAAACCGGTGATTTTGTTTATGTAGCGACAGACGGGGGCAGGCAACAAATAGCGCAAGTTGATGCTATATGGTTAACCAAAGAGTAAGTAATAAATCCATAATAAAATATTGATTTTGTATATTACTGTAATTTATATTATTATTTATATTACACGATATGTAATATACCGTTTTGTGTTTTTAGCGGGAAATGTTATTTCAAAGGTCCATGGTTATTGATGCCTACAGATGTGCCACATACGCCTACGAAATTATTTTATAAACAAGAGTTATTTTTATCTACTGTGGATGGTACTCATCCTATTGTAGCTATTGTTGGAAAATGTTCCGTCCTTGATTACGGAGAGTATATATGTAGTAAGTGTTTATCATTCCATCGTTTAATAAATTAAATAAATTAAATTAAAAAATAGAATACCTTAACGAATCATCATTGATGAATTATATAGGCAGACCAACAGAGATACCAGAGGATGATGTGTACATTTGTGAATCGCTTTATGACGAAAGTAAAAGTTTGATGAAAAAGCTTAGTCAAGACGGTTTAAAGAAGTTCAATCACACGTCGGCGGTAACTGAAGACGAAATCTACTTCTTCCGAAGGCCTATTAATCCTGCTAAAGTATGTATGACAGTTAAACATTATTGACTAACATAAATGCATATTTAAACTATTCGGCGAATAATAAGATATGTACTTAGTTCATTCTATGCGACTAACTGTGAAATTATTGCTTTGCATGGCGTGTTTGTTGTAGGTTTCGAGCGACGTGGCTCAGACGCAAAGTCAAGTCAAGTCCATTACGCCCAGCTCGGCTCAATTTGAAATGGTAATTACTAATTACGAAATCTTATACTTTTGTTTTTAGTAACGTACATACAATATGCAATCGCACGTTCCTTCAAGAGATCACACGCAAGCTGATATAGCAAAAGTCTAATCGCCAGTATGTCCACTCGTAAAAAGACGAAAGGCGAAACATGCTTTTCTTTAAATCTAATTGAATTTTGCGTGTGATATAAGTATTTTTGTTATATCAACAGAATGCATTTACACGCATGTTTTCGATCTATATGCCGGCATATTCATTCTTTTTTTGTTTTGATTATGTAATTATGTGTTAGTATTTGTGTCTCGAGCGGTTTCATCCGACAATTTCAAATCAGAGCACCTGTTGGGTTTATCGCTAGTATGTTATATGAACGCAAAGCACACCACCGAAAGATCTTGCTTCCATGTCATTCTAATCCAACTAATGTAAGAATGAAGAATTCGCTTTGGAGTATACATATTAACTAATCTGTTAATGCAAAAGTTTCAATTAATTAATAATTGACATGTTGCGATTATATATACGTTACATATTACAATATACATATGTTGATGGTGTCGAATTAAAAAAAAATTGGATGTTACACCAGTTACATTACATTCGAAAAAGAGATTAAAGTATACGGAATATAACGTAAGTGGGAGAATATCGCTATTAGTTTCCTTTGGACATGAAGAAGGGATGGCGTTTCTTTTATTATGTACAACTTTTTCTACTGGATAAAGTCGCGAAAATATATCTCGTGATCGGTAATAAGGGATAACGAAGGTAACATAAACATAAATAAATGGTGTAGGAAGCGTCACCATTGTTACCGAAGCTGGAACCAGATGTACTAAGCATGGGGGTAGGATTAGGAGTGGGAGTGGGAGTAGGAGTTGGGGAAGACAGCATGGATGCTGGTGGTCCACCATCCGTTGGATCTACGGAAGCTCAACCGGTGCTCTCCAATACTCAGACACCTGTGTCGACTAAGAAGGTAGGCTTTACCGTGACCATTTTATTTTTATTTTTTTTTTTTCATTCTTATCTAACTATTGTCACACGTCATATTTTGTTTATTTTACTTTCTTTTTATTTAGAGAAATATGCCAGCATACATACCTCTTTTCGTTCTCTGCACCGTTTGAAGACACCATTTGTCTTAATAATAGATCGATAATTTGATGTTACTTCTGTTAAGAGATGTAAAGGCAATATGCTCGTTTACATGAACACGGTGACATTATAATTTGTGTTTTCTCTTCTGTTTAGAAAACGGCGGGTAAGAAATTAGTTACGGGCTATATTTTATATTCGAGTAAAATGCGAACGCAGATTACACAAAACAATCCTGAATCATCCTTCGGAGAGATTAGCAGAATTGTTGGCAACGAGGTATTTATTTCTTTTTTACTGTTGATTTTTTAGTTTATTAATGGAGTTTCGATGAAGGAATGTATGCAGAATAAATTTTCTATACATGATCACATGATGTCTTTGTTCAAGCATCAAATTAGTTAAACAATGTAAACTTTGATCTTGACATTTATGTGATAAGGCAAAAAGATTTAAAAAATGTAATTGACTATGTCACTTTGCACATCACTATACACATCACTATACACATCACTAAAATTATTCAGCATACTTGGTCCTTTATCCAAATAAATTATGTTACATGGCTACTCTTTATTCTTATAAATATAAATGCTTGTGTGTACAAAATACAATAATGCATCTTCTGTATTCTTTTATAAGAGTAGTATATCAATTTCTACTTTTGCATATACCGTATTGTAATTTGTATCGTCTTCGTCTTGATATGTTACCGTCTCTATTCTTGATGTATAAACGTTATTTGTATCCAATCTTTTATGAAGAAGAGAGAGTAGCCATTGAAACAGTTCGTCGAATCTCTTTTAAAACGGCAAAAATGGTTTTGCTAATTGTCTGCTAACTAATTACGAGCAACGAAACGAAACTGGTTACGTAAAACGTAAAACCACTTTCGTTCCAGTGGAGGAAATTGCCAGCGGGGGAGAAGCAAGCATGGGAGGAACGGGCAATCAAAATGAACGAAGACGGTGGTCAGCTGAAGGGTACGACTACAATAGGCACGAACTCCATGCAGGATGTTGTGTACGAATGTTGTTGGGACAATTGCGACTGGCAGTTCGAGGACATGACTGATTGCATCGATCACTGCATCGCGGAGCAGAACGGTCACGTACAATCATCGTTTGTAAACGCTCCTAGTGGTGAGTACAACAATCGCAGCAGCCGCGTAACACGACATGGAATGATGCAAAGAACTATATTGAATTGATATTCTATCAATGTTATAGATGTGGAGTATCAGTGCCAGTGGCGTGGTTGCGGCCGAACGAAGAAATCTGTCCCACCGTTCCCGAGTGTACAGAGACTCGCAAGACACGTTAAAGAAGTGCATATTCTCAAGTCGCATGGTCGCATAATACCACCTTCTGAGAGGAGCAGGTAAGAATTTATCCTTTTTTTTTCGTTTATCATTTTTAAAATACGTTTTTATAAATCCTATATTTATGTTCTCGTAGAAATTACATGCCTTCAAAAGGACCCACAGTATTGCCTCCAATGGAAACAGGTAATTATATATTATTTCAAATTTACGTAATCGCGCGATATGAATAAGGGAAAAACACATTTCACATAGAAACTTCAGCAGCTGCAACTCAGACGAGCAGCTTGCCCGCCACTAAACAACCAGAGCCGATGTTTGTCGCGGTACCACCGAGGCCAAGTCGTGTATTGCATTCGGACGCCTATTTGAGGTAGGCTTAAGCTAAATTTTGTGGAAAATCATCTTTGAACATCATACTGAATCATATTCTTCTTTCGCGTGTAGGTATATCGAAGGTCTAAATGTAGAGAATCGTTACATATCAAATTGGGATAAGCAGATGAACGCCAATCCGGATAATACCCAAATCCCCGATGTGACGAAGCTGCCCGCCGAATGGCTGGGCAATGGCGTTGGAAACCATGGGAATGTGGTAAACGCTTTGTGGACACTCAGAAACATGATGATGCGGGATGTGTTAGCCATCAATAAAACTTTATAGTTTATAAATTGTTAAAATTAATAATTTTTGAACGTGCAAAGTACACGTAATCTACAATACACAAACCCGTCGACGCCGGATGAAAGACTGACGGTATTTGATCGTTTAAACAATATTTATATTTAGAATTTTCTTTCTCGTTCTTTTAATACTTAATTTTACTTTATTTATCTACGTTCTAAGTTTGATGACATATATCTCAAAATATCTTTAGGCAATTCTACAAGTTGACTATGTTTGAAATTTATTTTAATCATTCAGGCATTATTTATATGATTGGCAAGAAATTTTTTTTTTTTGCGAATAAAATGTTTACGCTTTTTTTGTTTGTATTAAATAAATTCTGTTTTATTAAATACTTTATTCCACATGTTGCATAGAACTATACGATGTGTGTACATAAAAAAATACTATATATAGAAGATCATTGTGTAAATACATCTGCTGATTTTGATTTTTCACTTTTGAACAAAATTTTATACGTTCTGTATAGCGCAAGTAACAGATATTCTTGTAATAAGGAACACGAAAGCTGAAACTCTCTTCCTGTATTAGAAACTTACATAAAATATGAAGCTGCATATGTATATAGAAAAAAAAAACAGAGCAATGTACTGATAATGCAACCGATGTCACGCTTCTTATCAGTGCTACTTTCATATTCTCAGAAGATGTTGAAGAGACATAGTGAGATTAATCAAATGATCTATTTGCTATTGACCAATAGCCGAGAAGGAAAAAAAAAAGGAAATTCTGCGTCATGCAACAGTGTAAACCTCGTAGCATATTATTTTTTAAGAATTTTCGATACGATTGGAAGAATTTTGAAAACGTACTGGCAAATACAAAATGAAATTTTTACTACAATGTCGTGTACATATGTTTCTTGATACGATATATCTGTAGAATACTAACTAAATTCCTTTTCTACATGAACGGTTTAGCCGTTAATTCTTTGAAAATTTATTATATATCTTGGTTAAATAAATTTTCGCTGCTACTGGCGTGAGAATATGTTTTAGTAATGAATGTGAATCGATTTAAATTCATTCATCGACGGAGCTATGCATTCGATTCTTTACACAATCATAGTATATGTCGATTTATTAATGATTCAGTTGAACATTCGTTTTCTCATTAGTAGCGAGAAATTTAATCGCTTTGATGTATAAAATGTTTGTTATTCTAACATACCAGTATTCAGTATTTGACAAAGTGTTGCATATTTTTATATGTATAATGTACTGGATAATCTCTGTACATTATGACGTAATTAAGCTTTTTGTGTAGGTTGCCATAGTGCCAGACTTTCGGAAAGAAAGTCGTGTGAAATTAACAATGCCAAACATGGAATGTCGTTGCTAATAAATTTGTAGTAATTTCTAAAAACTTACTCGGGGGTATCATCGTTCAGCAAAAAAAGCTTACTTTTGTACAATGTAATTTATTTCCTCTCACTGATATACAATTTTTGTTCTGTAATACAAAAGCTTTCCTTCGTATATCTATACTTATTATTAATCTAATTTATATATTTTTTCATATCAAGAAAAACAATTTTGATTTACTTAATACTGATTTATTTTATTTAATACTGACCGAAATAATTTATTTTCCGCAAATGCAAAAATTGATCATTGCAAGTTAAGAAGTAAGAATTCTTTGGAGTTCTTTAAATATATTTATAGAAACTACATCAAAAAATATATACGGTGTTTTCGTTTCAAAAATCACTGACTCTGCCACCATGCTGCCAGTCTCCCCATTTAGTAGGATCTTTCTCACTATTTGTTATCAGTTCTCCAGTTCTGGGGTCAGTTTCCACTAATACTAAATCCACGAACCTTTCCCGCGGTCCTATTTCTACGTGTCAAATAGAAAAGAATCAGTATTCCTGAAGCTTTGAGCATAATTTTTTATGGAAGCTTTTATCGTATCATTATAAAAGAATTTCGTACCAATATCTTTGTATTAATTTTTATTAATTGCTATTACATACTTGGTATCGGTTGCAATTTAAGTTTCTCATGGAACTGCTTCATTCGTGGCGATTCTTGGGTGTTCTTCGAAGACTCAATTAAAGTCTCATTTAAAATCTTTCGTTTTAGGAAAAAAGCACCTAATGTATTACTCATTTAATTTTTATATTCAATGGAATGAAGATTATATATGTATAAAAGCAAGAACAAAGATTATTCGTAAAAATCCATTAAAGTTTGCAAACTTAAGATATTCTGAAGCGATACATACTTGTGACAAATCGTCTACAACTTCTTGCTTGTAGATTCGTCAAAATATTATAATTTAAGCGAATCATCATGCAAATATTTTACGAAGAAACTAACCACGGTTGTCCGCAATCGTGTGAAAATGACAGTTTTATAATTTTGTTAATAAAACACTGTCGCCAATATGGCTAGATCGCATTGAATATTTTGCCTCGCAAGAAGCAACTATAATATTTTCCATTTCTCGTTTACTTTAATTTTTGAAAACTTAGATTAATGTTTTGAGCTTAAAATTTAAATATTAATTCAATATATGATTAACTAACTACGCTATTTTAAATTAATATTTTAGATTCATTTGGATAAATTTGTCACATTTCAATAATTTTATTAAAATTGAATTAAAAGATCCGATCGTTATAAGAGATATATTGGATTGTCCGGAAAGTTCATGTCGCAAAAGATTTAAATTTAATAAATAAAATTAAAAATTTAAATCTGCGTTTCAGTTTTCTTTCAAAATCGGCATGAACTTTTCGGACAACCCAATTCGATTAACTTGATATCAAAATAAAAGTTTAATTATATAATATTGTATTTCAAAGCAGAATTGTTTTAAGTTTTAAATATGAATATTTTGATGACAATTTTTAACTGTTATTAAATGGATTGCGCTAGTCTCAAACGAGGATGATTTAGAAGTCCGATACACGACCTTTTCTTTCCCAATCGCCGTAACGAGTCGGTTCTGGTCCACGGGGACCTCCGACTTCACCAGTTTCCGGATTTGTGTTGTTCGGGAATGGTTTCAAAGGTTCTTTCTCTTGATAAGGATGCTTGTCCTCCTCCAATTCGTCCAATTTCTCTGTCACGTTCAAAATTTGATTTCTTTACTGCTTTAAATTTTTAATCTTTGTATAGAAATTTAAGAAAAGTTGCTACTACATAACGTACCTATAGGAGCACGTTCGCGCAATTTTTTCCTGAATTCATGTAATCTCGGACTCTCGTCGACTTCATTTGTGCTTTTAGATGAAAACGGGCATGTGAATCCTTTTAAAAAGAACATCAATAGGAACATTACAAATGTACATTTTGTTTCAATGTATAGACAAACTCACCGATGTTTGTTCATCTACAAATTCATACCTTTCATATATAGCCGCAATAATTGACGCGAACTTGTTGAAATTGTGCAATTAATTCCTGCCATTGCTCTCAAAATTGATTTCTATATTCCTCGAAAATAAAATCACACTCAGTTGATATACATCTGTGTATGTTTTTCTTTTTGATTTCACTGTTTCCAATTCTTTGAAATCACAAAAGCTAGATTTGTTATGTGTTATCCTTATAAGAATTATGAGTTTTTAAAAAAATTTATTTATAATACATGTGTCACATAAAAAGGATATGTTGGATCACATAAATATACTAATATTAAATATAGGAGCTGTCGTAATTTATATATAAAACAGATTTATTTAAATTCGTATCATTTTTACCTTACAAAAATATTTTACGTGTAATAATAAATAAATAATAATATACAATCCACATTAAATTTCCAAATTATTAACTGCACGATTATTTTGTTAAACACTATGTTCATTTATTATACATAAAGAAGCGACAAATATCTTATTATCTATACTTAAACAAATGTCTTTTCAAAAATTAATCTATGGATTTAAATGCTCTTGCAAACTTTCGAGGGAAATATTTTTTACATGACACTTTGCGCGGTGAAGATCAGGTTAAGTTCAAAGATATCTATATATTCAATATAGTACGATATAATATAATCATTATATAATAAATTATAGATAAAATTGATAATTAAGCAGTTAATTAATCGCCATCATTTCTATTTATTGTCTGTTTCTTACATCTTACATCTGTTTTATCTTATATCAATTCTTTTATCCTTTCTCTCAGATCAGCGCCCGTCACGTTCGCAAATGCGTTCCAAAACTTATCGAAAAAAAATATTCCATAGTATTTCTAGTTTGTTCCTATAAACGAGTTCCCAAACTCACCGAACAAATCTGCCTGCATAATGACGTCATGGCTCCCAAAAAAAACCTATCAGCACCTTGACGTCATCAATTCGGATCAGCTGTTTATCTTGCGATCGATGTCTGCTTGATCTGTCTGCGCGCATTGTTTCCCATGGCCGAATGGAAAACACAGAGAGTAACACGGGGTGGAGCTGACGACAAATTAATCGTATATCACGCGCGTTTCAGCGCGTTTTTGAATGGGAGGCTGTTATGAAATCAGAGCGGAGTGAAGCGCGTTTAAATTTGAGGTCCTCGAACGACGACATTGATCGTAAGGTAAAGACTTTCAGCAAAATTCTATTGAATTGATAATTTAAAAGTATTACGCCTGAATTCGTTTAATTCTGATTAACTTAACTGTCATAATATTGATAATATCGTATTAAATCGCATTTCATTCATGTACAGACTTAATATTAATTAAGAAGGAAATATGGGACAAACTCTTAGCGAACCAATTACGAAGAAGAAATCGGCTTGTTGCCGGGATAGCAACTACCGGGTAGGCAGTTCTTGCATGCAAGGATGGCGCATTAAAATGGAAGATTCACACGTGCACATACTTTCTTTACCCAGTGACCCATGCACTGCATTCTTTGCTGTCTATGATGGACATGGAGGTAAATACTGAATGTGGAAGATTTATTAAACAATAGCATAGTTACTTTTCAAGTAACTATATATCGAGTATATATTTTTGTAGGATAATAAGATAGATATTAGAGATATTTGATAGATAATGCATAGATAAGAATAACAAAACACAACAAATAGAAATAAATACATGTATATAATATATAATACTTACTATATAATAACTATATATTTATAGGTGCAGCTATGGCGCAGCATGCTGGAAAACATCTTCACGAATATATAATTAGAAGGAGTGAGTATAAGGAAGGCAATATCATAGGTGCGATGCAACAAGGTTTCTTAGAATTAGACAAAGCAATGCAGAATAATGCTGCTCTTAGGGATGAACATGCTGGAACAACTGTCATTGCACTCCTCATCAAAGATAATATTTTATACAGTGTAAGTCATTTATCTCATTTGACTGTACAGTAATGCCTCTTGAATTCCTGATCACTAGAAAAGCTTTGTAGGCTAACGCAGGTGACAGCAGAGCAGTGGCTTGTATCAACGGGAGGACAGTCGCCCTCAGTCGAGACCATAAACCCACGTTAAAGGACGAACGCAAACGTATCGAAGCAGCGGGTGGTTTCGTCGAGTATAAGAGGGTGAATGGCAATCTAGCGCTATCTCGTGCCCTCGGAGATTTTATATTTAAGCGGAACGATCGTAAATCACCACAGGAACAGATTGTGACCGGTAATAATGAAATACCAAATGTGATTCCTTTCGATTAAACTTTTGCATCAAAAAGAATTATAAATCCATAGCGTTTCCCGAAGTACAACAATTTATCATTGACGAGGACTGGGAATTTGTCGTTTTGGCGTGTGATGGTATTTGGGACGTGATGACCAGTGAAGAGGTAGTTCAGTTCATAAGAACGCGTTTAGCGCATCCGAAACTTGGCGATGGAGAAGCATCGAACTGTACGATACATCCCGAGGAGATCTGCGAGGAACTTTTAAATTGTTGCTTGGCACCGGACGCTCTTATGGGCACCGGCTGCGACAATATGACAGTGATACTCGTGTGTTTTCTCCACGGCAAGCCGTGTTCGCGATTAATTTTGCATTGCCAAAATCCACCGCCGAGTATATAGATCGATCCATAATTGTTTTGAATTGTATAGCGACATTGTATCATGTTTTATCTAAATTATTATGGGCATTTTACTTTTAATCTCGTATTGATACAACTTTTGATACAGATATATGTTGTGCAATACTGGCTCTATTGTAAAGAGATGAAGCAGACGTGTTTATAAAATACATTATATTTATATTTTCATTCTCGAATCTGTGTTACTTTTACATTGCACTCTTTCATCGATTCATCATTCATAAAAAGTGCGTGTATATAT